CTGTAAAAGTGCAGAATTCTAGGCTACCTGAGGGTCGAGGACACCCTAGGCCTGAGTAGCTAGTGAAAAGGGGTGGAGAACGCCAGCCGTATTGGTTTGTAGAGAGGCAGTTGCCATCTTGTTTGCTATTGGAAGGATGTACGGCTTTGTTTGGCTAACAGCACTATTCGCCATAAAGTGTAGTTTTCGCGTTTCTTGGTTATTAAGCCTTCCGCAGCGCATGCTCTCCGTGTATCAGATACTGTCATCCATCGATATTCTTTGAATGCTTGCAGGCTTTTCTATTATGGTGTTCACTTCCTTTGGCTTGTTTTAAGCATTGATGCCCACTGTGCTGCAAACACGAGTTATAGTTGCTCGCAGACATTGCTCTGGGAGGCACTGGGGTACTGCTACAGCTTAGTGGTACGTATTTTGGCTCCCATTGCACATTAGACGTGCTTTATGTTAGTTGGTAGCAGGATATTCACATATTTCAGCGCTCCGGCTACAGCGAGCCATCAGGCCACCGTGGTGGTGTAGTTAGTCCCGCATTCGGTATTGACCAGTGTGTGTCTTTCTTCCAATCAATTTCGCCGCAGTGGCTGTGCATAATTTTCTGCCTGTCTATACTGCACTGCTTTTGCGCTCTGCCTGCCCATAGAGTGCCGACAGTTTCGCTGTCTTGCGTACAGTTGGTGACGATGTACAGCTTCAGAGCATGAGTGCATGGCTTTAGAGTTTGGGGGATGACGTGGCGCGTTACGGTGCAATTCAGCACTGTCTGCTACACTAGGCAGATTTGACTACGAATGAGAAAAGCGGGATTGCTATGCTTTTCGCACGTCGTATTGCACAGTACTGATAGCCCGATACAAGAAGACGCAATTATGTCCTCGTGTGTGCTCCACGCTATGCTGAATTAGCTGTGGTTGGTTGAAGGGCTTAAGCATGCACCTGCGGACCCCGTAGCTGTCCCCCTCCGTTAATGTGAGGAACACGAGAAGCGCAAGAAAAGTGAGAAAGAATTTGTTATCAATGTTTAGTAGCTGTGTATCAAGCTTGTATTTTGTCTGGAGTTGAGTGTCTCCCTATGGAGACCGTGCGTATAAAGCGTTACATGCGGCGCCCGGGGGGGGGTGGACTCGAGCCATTTTCAACTTCTTAATGATCTCTGAAGTCTAGGTCCCCCTAGTTGTGGTTCATATGCTAAAGTTTACGCGTACCTCTCTTGGTCTTACACAAATAATCTTTTAACAATAACCTATTCCCTCGAAAAGGCGCTTGGGGTCAGGTTTTCAACTTGGCATAAGCTACTTTGAGAGCTTGCTCGCGTGCTTGCACCTACCAAGAACCTCCCGCTGGTGCTATTGAGCTATTGAGGGGATGGGTACCTCTCCTGAGACGGGCAACTGGGCGGCATCGCCGTCCTTCGGTCCTCGGGGTTGGCAGTTGGTAGTAACTTCTTTTCCATGCAGGTTCTATGTGGAGTGGTCGGAGTATCCCTGATACGCTTTAAACAATTTTCATGGTTTGTTTCCCATGTGCTCCGTATCGCCATTCGATTTTCTAGCATTTTGCGCAGACTCGTAAATCCATAATATGGGAACTTCTTTGCCATAGTAGCAGTATGCGCTCAGTGCATTAGCATGTTGCGCCCTCAGCGAATCTGATAAGTGACAAATAGGAGCTTGTTTGGACGGCCAAAACATTTTTGTTCCTTTGATAAAATAGTGCAACCTTCAGAAATAGCTAAGCTAACTGGGGAGTACACCTTTCTGGTTGTGCGTTGCCCCTACGCTGATGATCCGACAAGAAACCACAATTGTAACATCGGGGTCTGTAGTCAAAAGTAAGTCGCAGTGTCTGCATTCACGTGACAAACTGGTGCCCTGGAACAATGCCTGAGCTCTGCCCCACTTCCAAATAGAAAAGCATTATGAGGGCATATCAAAGCTAATCATCGTGAGTACGCAATTCAGTCAAAAAAGCATCTATTAAGAAGCTCTAGGGATAGATCCTAAGAGACTACATTACGACAACCCGCTTTATCGCAAGAACAATCCGGCATTTGTCCCAATACTTGATTTCATATTAAGTTCCCGTTACCGAATATATTTTGGGGGTCCATGGCGTTTTTTGTAGCTCGTAGCACTTGAATGCCTGTGAACGTTTCCAGCAAAATACAATTACAAAATAACCAGGTAGCACAACGTGTGTGTCGTAATAATGCAAGACGTAGCAAGGGGCTATTTATTGAATATACATACGTGTGTAATTTTTAGCACGAGAGTGCACAGAACAGCCAGTTGACAAGGAGCCATTATGTACCAGTTTCTCCAATGGCCTTCGCCATGAATTCCTTCCTGAGTTTCCCAACTCCATGATGATGTGATATGGCTCCGCCGCAGTCCATTATGACTTGTCGTGCATTATGCTCCACTGTGCTATATACCTGTTGGTAGGAACGCATCAATAGCGCGAGAAGTTCCAGAAATATCATCAAAACTATCTTAAACGTAACAATCCGCCAGGACGATGGAATGCGGTATGTGTAAACATCAGAGCTTTGCAATTGAAAGCAAGCACATCGGTGAGCGTTCATTTTGATTATCAGCAGTACACTGTGTCCTGAATTAGGATATCTCAATTGCTAAACTACGAACATGCATTTTACCTCTACTGGATCATCCAGACCTGCCCAATTAAATCCGAAGTAAAAATACAGGACGGCGCCTCCATCGTAGACTTGTGTAACCCGCACCATTACAATAGGCGGATACTTGATTCCAAGTTGAGTGCAGTCCCAGGCGATTTTTTCTTTTACGCGCTCATAGCAAATCAACACCACTGGCCAGGGCATAGATGCCTCAAAAGATTCAAAAATCCAGTGATGCTCCATTATGAAATCTCTATTATATCGCACAGAATAGCATTTCTGTTTGTTTCCGTAGGTAGCAGTGGTCGGGCAATGCCAGGTATCACAATTTAATGCGGAGTCCCCATAAACACAAGCACTTTCGTGCACTGGCAATGAGCTACAGTACTATGCATGACTGCAAAGCGCGCATCAACAGCTTTCGACGGAGTGGCCTAGCTAGGGATTGGTGGGTAGTGCATCTCGCCTGAGGTAAGCAATCATGAAAGTCATCTGGTAGCCTCGCTCGCCGTTACTGCTGCCAGCCGGCAACGCCCCATACATCTTTGCAGTTTTGTAGATATTTCGCTTCTGAGTTGCCACTTCGTCCACTGTGCCTTCGAACAGAAGAGTACACGCACAAAGATCGTCTTCCCTCCAACCTTTTATCCTGTGTAAGTAAAACTTTTTAATTTTCTCCATCAGCAGTTCTTTCATTGGAGGTCCTCCTGAACCAGAGAATCCACAGAAATATGCGCAGTTGCTCATTATGAAGAGTCGAATAAACATTTGGACAGGCATTCAAAAAAGTCCGTGGTACAAGTAATTCAATGAACCCCATACCTGGTGGCGAAATTCTAAAGAGGGAGCCACACTGAGTTTGCGTTTTATCCATGAGGCGCATACTGGCTGGCTGCATCTTCTTCAGTGCAACATGCCGTAGGAAACGCACACCGGCATCAAATGTCGCGAAGGCCAGGCAACCGTACGCCTTGCACTGAGCCAAAAGCAGCCAAGCGAATGATTTATTAGCAAATCCACTTTGTGAGGAACATAGCCTGCATTAAGTGAGAGGCTGTAGAATGCGAATTTCGCCCACCTCAGGGACGATTTTCACTCTCAACAAAACTTGGGTAACGATGCCCAGAGTGCCTTCGCTACCGAGGATCAAGTGTTGAAGAGATGGGCCAGAAGAAACCCGGGGAGCAGCTGTCCGTTGATTGAGAGTGCCTTTTGGAGTTACTACGACCATGTCTACCACCATGTCCTCGATGTTACCATATGCATTCTTCTTCATACCTTCGCGAACACGATAAGTGCGTGCTGCTAACCGAATTCACTGGTGCGAATGCATGCGGGGCAAGTACACAAACACCAGCATTATGATGCTCTTTATTTCTTTGCCAAGGCGTACCTGAAGCTCGAGTGGCTACCCAACCACCAACCGTGCTGAACTCAAAGCTGTCTGGTTCGTGACCTAGAGTAACTCCGCACCGGCGCAACCTCTCCTCCAGTGTAGCACCCACTGCTCCTGCTTCCACCCATACAAGCAACGCGTCTCGGTCGAGGCGCAGAATCTTCTGCATGAAGCCAAGAGACACAGTGGCCACCATGCGCGTTTCTCCCTCTGGTACTGTCACCCCCATAGTAACCGACGTCCCGCCTCCATACGGAATCAGGCACACATCATGCTTTGCTGCACAGGCCACAATAGCCTCAACGTCCTGCATTATAAACAAAATACAAAAACCGTGAAATCACTCATTGAGTGCGCGCGTTCCAAACTGCAGTACTAGCTGTTCAGCAAAGTGAATGGACTGAAATGCGCATTCTCTCAACATCATGCAACAGCAGGACAGGCCGTACTTTGTGTTCCTTCGGGTAAAGCACTACGTCTGGAAGTCGGCGTATGAATCCGAAACGTAGCTCAAAAATTTCATGACAGGTGTGGCCATGACCGTGAAACAGGCGCTCCTTTGGACATCCGGCGACCTCCACCTCAGGGGCCTATGCAAATGCCAATATGCCACATTGAAAGTATTCATCTTTGGTGCCCACTGCGGCTGGACCGCGGTAGGGAAAATCCTAGTCAGAGTAATGAGATGCATTGTCTTTGAAGGCAGAGAATGCGACTTTCTGGCTTTGACAAGGTACCATTTGACTCAGTTCTTCAATGAAAGCGGGGTTGAAGTTTCGCAGAGGAGGAATCGGTATTGTAGTCTGCGCGGGTGACGTGAAGGTGAATTTAATACCCTTGATTGACTCAACGAATTCGTGCCAGTGTCTCATGTCTACTCCACAGAGTGTATACCTTCGCAGCGGAAAGCAAAAACCGCAACAACATGCAAGCCTTTGAGGCAGCGAAGCTGGCAACCGCTCTGCTTACGAGAGGCCCATTCAAATGAAGGCTTCAATAAGCAATGCTCCTCTCTGTAGCCGCTACAGCTGGTATGTGTTTGGGTGGTATATTTACAATAACATACCTTGATCCCTGGAGGCGAATTGTTGAGGAACTTGACATTGCGACGTAGGTGTCGCAGTAACCCCACCCATTCCACTTGCACATTTGAACGCGATTCCTTCCGAAGAGCCTAAAATCCAAAATGGAATGCCCGGAAAGCTTAGAATCAGCGAAAAGGTGGAGAGCGAGGCGCAAGGCATTTGGTGACTCTGAAAAAGCTGCCATTTTCCACTCTTGTTGCCATCGTTCTTGTGCCTGTTGAGATACAACTGGTTGCCTGCGGCTCCAAGCCATCTCCCGGGTAGTGCCCTCCGAGTCGTCACTCACGTGCGATTGAGAGGACACAGTGGTTTTCATGGTGTTAAGGAGATGGACACAAGGCAACAGTGCGCAGCAAATCAACGATCCCACAGATTTACTAGGCACCCAGGAAAGCCACGGGAGTCAAAGTCAAAGATGGAAAGGTGTCCTTCTTTATGTGAATCAATAAATCAAATCGAAGCATGAGCCAATGTTGCTGTAGAAATTTCAAGTTGATTCAGGGGTGGCATACGTACACGTCACGCCAAAAGAAGCCACTAGACATCCGTCCAATGCCTCGTTACAAACTGCATTCACTCCAAGGGGATTCTTAAAGAAAAAAAAATGAACGCTTAAAGGACTGGCAATTACTGAGTGTAATTCTTCAACACCATGTATGATGGACCACTGTCCATGGAATACATCACCACTGGTCCTGACTTGACTTTTAACTGGAGTGACACGTAAGCCTAAAGCCGGTAAAGTAGGTCAAGTGTCCAAACACAAAAGATCAGCCAAGCGTATCCAAATCAGAAAAACAGTGACGTGACTCCAAACAATGCATCATCCAGAAAACCCCACTCGGCAACCCCTTTCTACTGTGGGTAGTTTACCAAGACCCCAAAGCGTCAGTGTGTGGTTGACGGCTATCGACATACATATTTTGGCTGGAGAATATCATTCAAACAGGCATTCTATTCTGTTTTATACTGCACATTGGAAATGTAGTTAAATCGTATGTACCGGGTTCCCACTAGTCGCTTAGGAGGCGACAGCCGCCGTTTCTTGTCCGATATTCAAACTGGATAATAGTGACATAAGTCAAGCTGTGGCTCTTGTGTAACGTGCATAATAATTTGCTGTCGGCTTAAAGGCCTATATCGTCAAATGGTGAGAACTCGGGTGCTGTTAAATGTTTGCACGGGCGCGCACTCCCAGAGGAAGCGCTTTCCAAGGAATTGCTCACCCTTTGCCGATTGGCCATGGTATCTATAGGTAAATACCTTTCCTTCTGCTGCATTTTGAGACAATTATGCTTTTGTGCCAATAAATTGCTACAACTAAATGACTGCGAACGGGTCCCTCGAATGCAGCACTATACACGCACAGAAATAGCCACTACAACAGGTTCACTAGTTTTGTTTCGACCGCAACTTATATACACGACGAGTGAGTTGGCTTAGCGTCACACATGTGTATATCTTCTGCCAGTAACTGCTCCTGTGGGAGGGCCTGTGCCCGAACCATCTTTGCCACAGCGAAGGTTTTGATGGCCGGAAAATATATTCCCTCTGCGTCAGCAAAAAGGGTAGAAGGCTCGCTGCTTTGTAGGCCGTAAAAACCTTCATGCTAGCTATCTAAAGCCAGAAACACGCATGTGAATTGCCGCCACGTCCGTTAACGATCTTGCAAATCTGTTCTTTAATAGGCGGCCTGTCCACAAGGTAGTCGATGTTTCATCATTCACACCCCCGTTCCCCAGGATCGCCATATCTTTTTGCCCCATCATCTCGATTTCCGGGACTGAGAACACGCGGGTCCACGCTAAGAGAGCTCAATGTTCGAGTGAGTAGTGTACTGAAAGCGCAACACGATTGTACACAGTAGTGACACTATAGCTGTTCAATAACATGTACATCTTTGAACATGGGTTTATCAAGGCAAGGAATATGATGGTTTGATGAAACACCAAATGAAACAAACTTCTTTCAAAACTTTATTGAGGGCAGCGCATGCTTTCGTCCAATTCGCAAGTCGTTTCATTGAATACAAACCAGCAACCCAATTACACCTCCCTTAGTTTTTCGTGAGTACATCTGTTCGTGGAATCTACAAGGGTGTTTCACCATAGAGCCTGACACGATAGCTTCTAGTTAAGCAATGGAAAGGAGGATAAACTGCAGTTTCGTGCTTTAACTAGATAAAATTGTAAACTAACGGGGATGCAAAAAACGAAATAGTAGCACGTAGGAGACCCAAATGCCTCAGCTAGTACAACACGATACTAATAGGGCAAGCCTTCAACGCAGTGCCCTTAGATGGCAGTGCAACAAGAAGGCATAGTTGTGATGTAGCTGTGTCATTTAAACTCTCCGTCAAGGAGCCCGCTATCCTATAGCAGCTACACTGTTCTTATACAGAACGCAGGTGCGTAGAAATATCGCACATTGAGATGCCGCAGTAAAGCCACTTCTAGGCCTACACAGCTAGGGTGAAGCAAGCGATTTCGCTGGTGTAGCGGTTGCCAATCTCAGCACAGACCATATCTGGTTCTGCCTTGTCGCTGGGAGGAGAAAGCGTCCCCCAGAGAGCGACTATAACGGATGCAGCATTCCTCCGCAAAGCAACGCGCAAGTCGAAAGCAACATGAAAGATGAAACGGTAGCACCGACGCATAGTTTGACTTTTGTAGACTTGTAAGACTTTGGATTTTCCACAAAAGTCACAAGGATCCGGACAGTGTAGGGTAACACGCACCCTGACTATAGCGATTCAGGTTTTTCTTTGCTGCCTTCATATACTAAATATTGTACAATTGATGCTGGGACACGGAGAAAATATAATTGAAAGATACGCATTGTTACTGGGAAGCGTGCAGAGGCATGCCCGGGAAATGCTGACTTGGGCACGTCTGTTAACATGGACACTTTTGATAAGACGTTGTTAGTCCTATTTAGCCTAGGGACTACCTGGGGTAAAAAGAATTAGCAAATGGTTGACCCTGTGCGCGCCTGTACGAATATGTAGAGGTGTGAACGCGCATGAAGGTGAATCTAACTCTATGCGCTTTAGGCTACCTTAAAGAGCGGGCATCTTCTGTAAAAGAGGGTTCTCAGCTATGAACAGAAGATATGGCATGAATGTAAAGGTTTGACCGGCCACGAGCAGTTCCTTATTATCAATGGGGTGAGTCGATTCGTCCCCTTAGGGGTACAACGCGTAGGAGCTTGGCATCGTAGCGCTCCATAAAGGTTTCCTTAGGAATACGCTTGTAGTCCCATACTGGATATGATGCCTAGTTAGAATTTTGAATGTATTTTTCCCGAAACGGCCTCTTCTTGCCCTTGCCCCTTGAGACTTGGCTTAAGGCTAGGGGCAATTGGGGAGCGCGTAGCTGAACCCTTTCAGAGTTCCGAGCACTCAGAGCTAGCTGTAAATTGCATACAGCGTGCGCAAACACAACACTGTACGGTGCTGCAACGACCTAAACCTACTGTGAGCAGCCGGCTTAGCTAGACTTGAAGAGTTTCCCCTACACTATTATATTAAATAAGCATAAGGAGAGAATTGAATTACAGGTTTGCTTCTTCGTAACACCTCACTTCGGGATATTTGAGGGGACGGGGGTAGAGGAAGCTCTTCTAGAGAAAAACTTTTGAAAATCTCACTACGGGAGCCTCAGATGGACCTGGACAGTGGATAGCGCTGCAATGTTTGGAACAGTTCTTCCCCTCTCGTTCTCTAACTGGGGATGCAGTGCAATGATAGGTCAGCCCACAACAGTTGTCTGGCTAAGATCCAGTCATATGGCAATTCAATAGTTTACTTTACGTTGGTAGTAGGCTTGGAGGCTGAAGCCTTTTGGTGATGGAAGCTGACGGTAACCCAACGCCTGCTGAGGCAACAGAAGGTGGCCTACAAGCTGATGTGTACTCAGTTACTGCCTAGCTAATTAAAAGGCACAATGCCACCACATCTTTTCAGCTGATAAACTATTTATGGTTGTGCCAATGAGGACATGCTGACTAGAAAAGCATGGTGACTCCATAAGGATGGGCAAATACTACTACAGTTTTGCAACCGTTTGGAGACACACCTAGCTTTGTACCTCCAGGTGCATAGAAACGAGTGCTTCCTGCGCCATGAGAGCTGACGGGAGGGACACTTTAAAAGTGGTTCAATTCACGTCAAAGGACCCTTCTTCCCGCAGGGATGACTCCAGATCAAGCTTTCATACAAGCCCTGACACGTTGGTCATAAGCAGGTTTCAGTTCAACAGCAAAGCTTGGGACAGGGCGGGAAGGCTGAAGCAAAAAACAAAAAGTAAAACCCAGGCACTATCAGATTGTCATTAAGGGCTCTATGCAGCTTGTGCTCTTAAATGTCACAACGTAGGCCAATAACTACTTATGAACGATTTTGCTTGGGTCTACAAAGTGTCAAGTCAGGTGGTCGCAGGATGGCCAACGACTATCCCATCAGACACACCAGTGTGAACTTTGCGAAGGAAGGACTTCTTCAGGTTTCAGGAGCAAGAGATCGCAATACCTGAG